TTTTGCTTTCCTTTTTTTTTTTTTATTTTGGATGAATGCTTTCTTCTCATACACGGTTGCTGAATCGTTAATTTATTTGTTTCAATCAGTATTCAAATTAAGTTTTTTTTTTACTAGTTAAACATGCTTTTCTTAAGAACCTGTAATAACTTGACTGTAGTATACCATTGAGATATAACTTTCTGTTTCTTTTTTGGCTTATGTTGTTTCTTTTTTTAGTTTAATGTTTTTGATACGTTAATTTTTTTATAATTCTCTCTTCTTCTTTTTTTAGTCATTAGATGAACTGATTGACCGTAGTATTGAAATTTTGGTATTATATGCTTATGTATCATAAGCTCATGTCCTATATGATGTAGGAATGGAAGAATATTCAAATATTTCTGCAAGTTTAGAAATTATTGATGAAGATGAAGTTGTTGAACTGGAATCTGATGGGATTAATGGAGATGGTATTGATGGAGATGATGAGATTGCCATGAGATTGGCATTCCTTTCTGACTATTCTTAGGTCATATGAGAGGGCATCTGGTAAAAAAATTAATTTTGATAAATCAGTGGTTTGTTTTAGTCCAAACACTGATCTAGTGATGCATCAGTTAATTTCTAGCATGATTGGGGTGAGTATTGTCCCCTGTCATGAGCGATACCTTGATTTACTTGCAATTGCGAGGCGAAGCCGCTCTCAAATGTTTAAGCATGTACGTGATATGTTATGGAGTAGACTACATGGATGGAGTTCAAAGTTGCTTTCTTCGGCTGGGAAAGAGGTGCTCATCAAATCGGTGGCTCAGGCACTTCCCACTTTTACTATGGGGGTTTTTCAATTGCTGCATGCCTTATGTTAGGATTTTTCGGCAATGATTGCCCGTTATTGGTGGGGGAAAGCAAGGAAACGCAGTATCCATTAGATGAGTTGGAGGAAACTTTGTAGGCCTAAATGCTTAGGGGGGCTTGGATTCAAAAATTTTGAGGCTTTTAATAAAGCTGTGGTGGCGAAGCAAGCATGTAGACTCTTGGAGAATCCAAACTCCTTAGTTGCCTGTATTATGAAGGCAAGATATTTCATGCAGGAGATTTCCTACATGCAGAGGCGGGGAATTGTCCTTCCTTAGTTTTTCGAGCTATAGTCTGGTGTGGCAAGTTAGTAATGGGTAGTCTATTAGGGTGTTTCGAGATCAATGGATCCCTAAACCTTTTACCTTCGAGCTTGCCCTCAACAAAGGGCTTCCTCAACATGCAACTGTATCGAATTTGATAACGCCTACTGGGGGATGGGATACGTCTCTAATTGATCAAGTTTTTTTGTGACGAGGATAAGGAGGCTATCTTGAATATACCCCTTTCTTCCATGGTTCAGAGAAGTGATAGATAGTTTTGGTTTTTCGAGAAGAATAGTACGTATTCTGTGAGAACGGACTATCAGATTACTTTGCGGCTGTGCAATTTATGTGACGAAGGGGAAAGGAGTTCATCGGATATAGGAGCTCAGATGGCGTTTTGGAAGAGATTATGGAGGTTGGAGATTCCGAATAAAATCAAATTATTTTTGTGGCATGCTGTGTTCGATATTCTTCCGACGGTAGTTAATTTATTTACGAGGAAAGTGATTTCTTCTCCGCTATGCTCCAGGTGTGGTAGGGAAGGGAAGACTATTATGCATGCTCTCTGGCAGTGCAAGGGTAATAAACAGTTTTGGCAATTGTTTTTGTATGGCCATAGGGTGAAGGTGGCGGGTAGCTCCTTTGCAAACTTTTTGGAGAGGGTTGCCAATGTTTTAAAGGGTTTGGAGTTTGAGTCTTTTGTATGTAG